AAAAAAAAAATTTTTAATTAAAAAAAAAAAAAACGTTTAATAGCGGTTTCTCTGTGACAAGACCTGATGATCTTTTTTGAGTATTCGCGTTCTTTATAATTATTTTTATTCTTTATTACTTAAAGATATCTTGATTTGTTAACTTTTCTCTTTTCTTTTTTATATTATTTGTATCTGTATCATAAATATTGTAATAAAGAACAAAAAAAGAAAAAATATATATATTTTCAAACTTTTAATAATTAATAAATTCATCGGTATCGGCAACGGTATCGGCCTTTTCCCATCCATCGGCATCGGTATCGGCATCGGCCAAAAAAGTGATATTGGTACATCACTAATATATATACAACACTTTTTAATAATTTAAATAATGTTCATTCATTAAACAATAGTTAAAAGTAATTTGTAAAAGTGTTTAACTTTAGTAAAATATTTTTAAAGATAATTTTTAAAATAATTTATTTCAAACGCAATTAAAAGCATAGTTTTCGCAAATAAAATGCAAAAAGTATTTTTCGCTTCGAGTTTGAGTTTTTTGAGTTATATTTTTAGTGCTTATATATTTTTTTTTTCGTAAAGAACTGTCTTCTTTTTTCTTTAGTTTTTTTTCTTTATTTTCTTCCTAGTTAAAGTTTATCTTAGCGTTTCTTTTTTTAGTGTATTTCTAAGCCTACGTTCTGGGCCAGCCTGCAGTTATGAAAAAAAAAATCAACTTTCTATTTCTAGTGATGTTTACAGACTGTATGACTACTACTTAAAGCACAAAAAATATGATTGTATGCAGAAGAGAGTGACAGCTAATGCACAGGAAGCTTTAAGTATCTACAACACAGCGAGAAATGAAGCGTTTATTAAAAAAATTGTAATGCTCAAATTAAAATTAAATTAAATTGCTTGTTGGCAGTTTATTTTATTTAAATTGCAGATGCATTTTATTTATTTATTTTTTCTTATATTTACGAATAAAAGAGTTGGAACACCTTTTTTTTTTAACTAGACTTACTAATTAAAGCACTAAGTTATTTTTTTAAACAAATTTTTTTTTTACAACTTTTTTGAAAAAATAAATGTTTACAATTTAAAAATATTAAATACAATACTTTTTAATAAATTTGATAAATTTATTAAACAATCGTTAGTAGTAATTTGCCACTTAATTAAAAAAACGTTTTGCATAACTTTAATAAAAATGTTAAAAAAGATTTCAACGTTATTAAAAACGTAACAAAGTGTTTCGCTTCGAGTTCAAGTCTTAATTTTTAATTTTTATTTTAGTGCTTATATAATTTCTTTTTCATAAATAATTTTTTTTTCGTTTCTTTTTTCGTTAGGAATTTTTTTTTTTCGTTAGTTTTTTTTAAAACTTTTTTCCTAGTTTAAGTTTAACTTAGCGTTTCTACATTCAGTACATTTAAAAAAGTTTTAAATCATCAAAACATATAAGCAATCGTGGTCGAGTTGTCAAGGAATAAAAGAAATCAAACTCAACATGTATGCTACAAGCAGTTGTTTGTAATGGTACAATAAACAATACAGACAGAAGAAATGGTGTAATTTAAAAATTAGAGAAAGGCATTGCAAGACTACTGAAATTGCTTGTTTGTCTGTTGCATACTAATAAACTGCCATTTTGTAAATACATTTCTGCTATTGATGGTCCTAGTAGTTCAAGTGGTGCAATTATGAGTGCACTGGACTTTGATCCCGAGGATTTACCAATTTTAAAGCTTAAAGCTATGCTATGCAGTGTCATGATCTAGAAGCAGAAGGTTATATATATATTGGAACCTGTGCTGCAAAGCAACTATTTTGCTCGCTCCAAAAACATTCTTTTTTCTGGTGTTTGTGATAATCTGTATGACATTTCTATTTCCGACAAAATAATTAATTTGAGAAGTAATTTGTGTAGTTCTTCTGTGTGTGTTTTTGATGAGTCAAGCATCAAGCTTAACGCTAATGCTTTGACTTACGTTGATATGACTGCAACTGACCTGAAAATCTTTAACACTGTCAGTTTAATTTCTTTTTGGTATAACTTGTCATTGTTGCATAGCAAGCTCAACTGTTTTTGGACATGAATTGTGACATGGTATGATTTTACAGAGTGCTGCATCCAGAACAGGCTTACCTAGTGTTAACTGTATATCATACTTTTTGTAAATTACATTTCATTATATTGCTTCATTGAATAATAATATCTAGAATTTTTATGTTCGTTTTAAGCTTTAGATATGGCTAGGGCCGGCAATAGGGGGTGCATGGTTTTTTTTCAAAAAAAATATTTTTTAGTAGGTTAATATGCTTATGACACACACCCAAAAGAAACACCTCTTCTCACTGGCCCTAGATAATGTCTTTGTATCATAGTAAGTGCTTGATGAAGGTCTAATATTTCTAGCTGTAAGCCTTTTAAGGCTAAATCTTTGTAGGAAAGTTGCAAGTGCAAGACACCTGTTGTATTGAATGTTTTTGACTATTTTACAATAAGTAGTACATA